GTGATTGCCAGCACTCCCTGAAAATGCCAGGGGGGTGAGGACATCACCCACTGCCACATCCAGGGATGTGACTGCAGCACCTGGAACAGGCCACGAGCACCTTGCACATGGCTGTGAGTGACAACTCAAGGGGCAGGGACAAGAAAAATGACCACCCAACCACCCTTTCACGACAGCACAAGTCCATTCAGGCCATTCCTTCAAACCCCAGGACCCCCAAGGCCCCTGCAGGGTTGGGATTCACACCCTTGGTAATCTCCCATCGCTCCAGAGGCCACAGGACCTGCTGGCTCTGCCCTGACCTCCTCTGACCAGCCCAGTGGGTGGTTTTTAACCATCCCTCGATGACTTGGTGCCTGGTTTTCTACAGATGCTCCACCTTGGTCTCCCTCCTGGCTTCCCTGAAGGCTTCCCAAGAGCCAGCACAGTTTCTCCCTCGAGGCAGAGAGCCAGGGCTAACCCCAAGGCAAGGCAAGCAAGGCCAGGTGGGCTCATAAATGCACAAACTAGGCTGAAGTCCCTGCTGCTTTTCAACTTCTTAATTACAGTTTGACCCCACTATTTCAGACCAATCACCAGAATCTTTATTTACCTGAATGTGTGTCACTTTAAAAAAAAAAAAAAAAAGGGTAAAAAAATAAAGCAAAGCTCCTCTGCCACAAGCTGGTGACAGAAACAAGACACAGAGTGGTTTACAACCTTCCTTGGAAGCCACTCCACACCTCTGAGTCCCCAGCTCACCCTTCTCCTCTCCTCCCTTAAAAGTTTTAGATTGTACTTTTGAAAGCAATATTTCTGTTCCGAGAGCCCTCGCAGAGCAGTGAAGGGGAAAGAGCAGCAGGATGAGCTCCAAGCCCCTGCCAAGGTATCTGATGGATCCCCTTATGAGTGAACAGGGTTTACTGGGGTTTTTGTTTTCAGTCTTTCAGTTCATCATTTAATGAAGAGCTCACAGAACTGGCAATCAACATGACAGCTTGCACATACACACAGGGGTACCAAAAACTGATCAGCCAACCCCAGGCTGCTCAAAGGGCTTGTCAGAAAAGCATCTTGCATCAAAAGTGGTGTGGGCAGCACATGCCACTGTGGCCAGTGCTGCTGGGCTCTGCTGCCACTTTACCCAGCCCTAAGTCTGACCTCAACTACTATTCCAAGTTTTACCTCAACTGCATTTTGCCTGTTTACTCTTTTGAGCATTTTACTGCTCCCTGCAGACTTTCAGATCATGCTGTACAACAAGATGGAGGGAAATATTCTCTTTACTCTTTTGGAGAGGCAAGACCATGGGTTTGTCTCGCTGGACACCTTCAGACACAGTACCTTGTTGTCAAGGTCGAAGAGGTAGGAGTCCTCCTCACGGACATCTGCCTCGGAGTCGGAGATCAGCTCCCCCACGTACCTGCAGACAGGGCAGGGGCAGAAATAAGATCACACAATCACACAATCAGCTGGCTTGGAAAAGCCCTTTGAGACCATCGAGTCCAACCTGTGACCCAATGCCACCTTGTCACCCAGCCCATGGCACTGATGCCACATCCAGGCTCTGCTCAAACCCCTCCAGGGACGGGGACTCCACCCCCTCCCTGGGCAGCCCATTCCAAGGGCTGAGCCCTCTCTCTGTAAAGAACTTCTTCCCAATGGCCAACCCAAACCTCCCCTGGGGCAGCTCAAGGCTGGGCCCTCTTGTCCTGCTGCTGGTTCCTGGGAGCAGAGCCCGACCCCCATTGGCTCCCCCTATGATTTTGGCATGTAAGTCTTCCCAGCCTGCAAAGCATTATAAGTAAAGGATTCACATTAGGAATAAATATTATCTAATATAAAGTTAAATATAAACATTCTTTGCAGCATCAACAGAATTCCATGACCAGCAGCCACTCACACTCTCCTCTGCAGCTCCGAGGCACATTCCAAGTGTTAACCAACCATCTCCAATCCCCCTGTGGCTCAAGGCAGCATTTAGCTCTGAGCTGGGGAGGAGCAGAACCACGAAACACGACCCTGGAGAGGCCCCACATGCTCTGTGTTGAGGGATCATTTGGCTGCAGTTCCCAAGCCTGAGTGATGTGGCCAAAGCTGCTCTGCCAGAGCAGAGGCTGCAGCCACACATGAGCCTCCTGTTTGCCCTCCCTGCATCTTTTTGTTTATAAAGCACTCCTTTGAGGCTGCAGCATTACTGGAAATCACAAGCTCCTTGGTGACCTGAAGCATAGAAAGGTGATGGCCAGAGAGGGAGGAAAATTGCAGTGGCCTGGCCCAGCAGCAGCTGAGAAGAGCTGAATAATGCTGGCCAAAGAGGCTCCCTGCTCAGGGGCAGCCATGGCAGGTTTAGAATTCCATGAAATAAAATACCACAATCTAATTAAAAATTGTTGGTTTGATGCTCCTTTAAAGACTATTCCTGGGACTCATTTCCTTTCCAAGACTGTTTACAGATACAAATGGTTCCCTGATTTTCCAGGTCCAAAGTTAGGGAAGGATGTGCAAGAGGTATCCAAAAAAGAGCAGGAGCATCAGTCCCTTTATTTAAGAACTACTGTGGTCGAGCCAGAGTCTTTCTTCCCAGCAAGATGTTCAGCACAGTGATGGCAAATGACCCCATCCCAGAGCTTTACACAGGAACTCATCACCACTCAGTCAGGCTGGACTCAGCTTAGGCTGGACTTGATGATCTTGGAGATCTTTTCCAACCTTAACACTCTGTAATCAGAGCACACTCCAAGCAAAGATCAAGAGCAATAGGGATTCAGAGGACAGGCTCCAGTGTTTTCCATGGGATGTGGGAGACAGGACTCTTGGGGCTTCTCTGGCTGAAGGTGTGGCTAAAACACCTGGTTTGATGCAGATCTTCCTAAAGCATCACTGTAAAAGAAATTAAATATCCAAACCCCACTCAATGGATGCAAAGGAACGGACCAGATCCTCACAACCCTCTGGTTTCCTGCATCCCACTAATTCCCAGGCTCTCCAACAAAAGCCAGCTCCAGCTGGGCCTTTTCCAGAAGGAGCAGTTCCACCACCTACCAACTAAGGATGAACAGAAGAGATTCAACACAGCCCACAGCAACAGCAGCACAGGGTGAGCAACATCAGCTTCTGAGCAGCAACAAATCTGGAGGCCAGGGAGAAGAAACCTGCCCACAAACACCCCCCTGAGCATCTGCAGAGCCTCACATCTCCATGGGAGCCCAGCAGGGCTGGGAGACGACACTGCCACATGTCCCTCACTGAGCTGCTGCTTCCAGGATGCACTGCAGGGTCCCCAGGCTGTTACAGGATCACAGAATCATCAAGGTTGGGAGAGACCTTCAAGATCATTGAGTCCAACCAGCAGCCCAGCACTACCACAGTCACCCCTAAACCCACGTCCCCAAGTGCCCCATGCAGACACCTTTGGAACATTTCTGGAGACGGTGACTCCATCACCTCTCTGGGCAACGTATTCCAGAGTCTGACCACTCTTTCCACAAAAAACCTTTACTAATATCTGATTTGAACCTCCCCTGGTGCAATTTGAGCCCATTTCCCCATGTCCTTTCACTTGAGACATGGAAGAAGAGCCCAATCTCCCCCCCGGCTCCCCCCTCCTGTCAGGGAGTTGCAGAGCCAGAAGGTCCCCCCTGAGCCTCCTTTTCTCCAGGCTGAGCCCCCCCAGCTCCCTCAGCTGCTCCTGCTGCTCCAGCCCCTTCTCCAGCAGATCAACACTCCCACCCTGCTTGATGTCACCTGTGGACCTGCTGAGGCTGCACTCCACCCACTTGTCCACAGACCTCATCAATAAAGACGATAAACAGGGCCAGCCCCACTCCTGAGCCCTGGGAACCCCACTGGGGACTGGTTCCAGCTGGATGCAGCTCCATTCCCTTCTCTGGGCCCAGCCACCAGCCAGCTTTTCACCCAGTGACCAGTTCACTTGTCCAGGCCATGAGCAGCCAGTTTCTCCAGGACATGCTGTGGGAGATGATGCCAAAGACTTTAAGTCCAGATAGACACATCTACAGCCTTTCCCTCATCTACTGAGCAGTCACTGTCATAGAAGGAGATCAGGTTGGCCAAGCAGGACCTGCCTTTCATAATCCCATCTTGGTTGGGATCTGGAGCTGCTGGGGGGGTCTGGGGAGCCCTGGAGATGATAGTGGGAGGACCAGGGCCACTGTGCTGGCAGTGCCTGGCTCCCAGCTGCCAAAGTGCTCTGAGCTCTGCTCACTGCTCCCAGAGGGACAGTCTGCAAGCAGGAAAGGAAAACCTTTTTTTTTTTTTTTTGGAGTGATTGCAGAGAAAAGTTGAAAGGTATCTGAAGTACAGAGCAGGCTGAAAAACAGGATGTGTGTAAGGAAGGCACTTCCACACAGAAAGAGTCAGGACCAAACCTAAAAGTGTGGTGAGAACCATCCAGGTCTGCCTCCCACACATGAAAAGTAACAGAGTAAAGGTCATCCTCACACCAATACAATTATCCCTCCAAAGCAGAGTAATAACCACTGCCCAAAGGAACTCGGGGCTCTAATTCAGATGTTTAACACAAAACACTCTTCCAGAGGAGCCAATCCATGTGCAGGCAGTCCCCAAACACTGCTGGCACCAGGGCTGCTTTGCCAGAGAGGACGAAAAGAAGAAACCACGTTCATAGGTTTTTGTTCATAAAGAATCACAGGGTTCTTTCTCCAATCCAGTGCAGCTGGATTGAGGAGAAGAGGACTTTGAGTTGGTGAGTAACAAAATAAGTGTGAGAGTGATGGAGTCAGGGAGGAATGTGCCTGGGCAAGACATAAATTAGCTCAGCTATCAGTATGCAGCTCATCCAGATAATGAAGATAGTGCCCACCACTGAAAGAGAGTCAGCAGCTCCTGGCAAGGGTGGGGGGCAGAGCCAGGCTGTGGTATCTCTACCCCCTCAGCTCCATGTGCTCCTCAGTGCACCCCTGGGCTGCCTGTTCACTGCCTGTTCCTCCTGGGTGTTGGCACTCCAGCAGGATTTGCTAAAGTCAGGGCCTTTTTTCTTTGGGAGCAGTTCACTCACAGGCTCTGGCTTGTCTCTGGGCACTCAACGAGGGCACTGGGACCTTTGGTGCTTATGGAAAGCCCTGCATGAAGTCAGACCTGAGACACTCCCCACAAACGGCAGGTTTTGGCTTTATCTCTAAAACAAACATTTTAGCATCTGGCAGCTCCGAACATGGGAGAAATACTTGGCCAATTAACTGCAGATTTATCTTTTCCTTTATTTTTTCTTTTAAATACTGCAATAATCTTCCTCAATCCCTCACCCCAACACCACAAAACATCAATAACTAGTTTTTAAAACTCCCAACACTTCCATGACGGGCACAAGTCCAGCCTTACTGAGAAGGTCTTAATTCACTGTGATATCGCAATGAAGAAAATACTTCCCAAAATATTTAACAAAGTACATATACCACTCTAAAGCCTAAAACTGTAGGGTCTGGTGGCAGGTTTTCACTTGACATAAATCTGAATATTTTTTTGTTTTTAAGTGCTTTATTGAGTCAGGGTTGAAACATGTGCTTAATGCCAGGTGCTCCAGTGTTTTGCTGAATCAGATTAAAGCCAGAGCTGTGACACTGGAAAACCTCTGGAGAAGGCAGGATTGAAACAAAGAAAGATCCCACATAAAAAGGTTGTTCCAAACTGCCCTGGACATCCACAGTGACACCTGAGCTAAGCACATTTGCAGCACAACCCACGTGTGTTTTTCCCCCATCACTTGTGTTTCTGAGGGGTAAGAGCTGAGCACAGATCCCACAGATGGAGAGGCATGGGAAAAGCTCCACACTATGAGGGAAAGGACAAAGAAAGCAGGAAGTGGAGTCAGAACAGAACCCTCTGAGTGAGGGCAGGCAGCTTGAGCTGATACCACTTCGATTTGGGTGAAAACCTCTCCTTAAAGAGGAGAGAACCATCCTGGCCCTCGGGAAGGGATGGCTTTGGGAAGGGATGGCTTTGGGAAGGGATGGCTTTGCTGAGCCAGTGGAAGCTGAACAACTCACTCGCACACGAAGGTTCCCAGTGGAATGTCCTGCATCGTTCGCACTCCCCAGCCCATCTTTTGTGTCCGATAAAGCTGCAATCGAGTCCTGGAAGAGAGGAAAGGAAGCCACACTGAGGCAGCGCCACACAGACTGACTGAATTGTCATCAAGATGAGTGAAAAACCTGCACCCTTCACCACCACACACTCACAGAGGGTTTTAACAGTCACCCTCTGCTGGCATCACTGTGGGGATGCTCCACTCCCACCGCTGCTCCGAGCTGTGGGAAGGTGCTGGGATTGGGGCCAGCCAGTCCCTTGTCCCTTCCCAGGTGTACTCTGGGGAAGAGGGGACGGGGCTGGATGCTCTGTGTGGTTACACCTTGATGATTTACACGTAGGAAATCAGAATCCCACCAGCAGCCTTTCTCTCCACATCACACAGGGAAGGTAGGAGGGGACTTTGTGCAGGGAGAGCTGCTGAGGGGGAAGGCAGGGAGCTTACAGGGACTTCAGAACACCTTGTGCTCTGACCCCTCTGCCCTCTGCTGAGGCCAGTGCATTTAGCAATTCCATCTTATCCAGCTGCCCTGGCTGAAAGACAGGGAAGAAACGCTGCAACTTGA